AAGCCGGCAGGGGGAATCGAGCCTGGGACCCCTGTTTTGCGACACCGGCTCCCCGAAGACTACGTTTAGTGGAACGTCATCAAATTGCCGCGCGGTACGTGGGGGACCCCCCCCGTACGATGGACACTTGGAGTCCATGTTGCAAGCACCTGTGGTCATGTCCTTCTAGGAAGAAGCAACTTGCTTGCAAAATAGACGCTGACCCGCCCGCAAAATAGACGGTGAACATTTCCCTCGCTCGACTTGGGCTTACGCCCGCGTTTCTGTAGCTGAATGCGCTGGACGGCTGGACCCGCTGCCGCTGGACCCGCTGGACGCGCTGGACCCGCTGACCCGCTGGACGCGCTGGACGCGCTGGACCCGCTGGACGCGCTGGACCCGCTGGACGCGCTGGACGCGCTGGACCCGCTGGACGCGCTGGACCCGCTGGACGCGCTGGACCCGCTGGACCCGCTGGACGCGCTGGACCCGCTGGACGCGCTGGGCCTGCTGGACCCGCTGGACCCGCTGGACCCGCGGACGCGCTGGACCCGCTGGACGCGCTGGACTGGGCCCGCCCGCGGACCCGCTGGACCCGCTGGACCCGCTGGACCCGCTGGACCCGCTGGATCCGCTGGACCCGCTGGACCCGCTGGACCCGCTCGTGACTATGATTCAAGTTGATTATCTATTTGCAAAACATGGTCACAAATATGCGAAAACATGTGCATGAACGAGTGTTTCCTGCGGCAAGTATGCATCAGAAGCGCTGAGGTTTGCGCAGAAAATTGGAAAATATTTTTGGGCTAAGCTAAACGCAGCAAGGGCAATCAATATACTGGATTTTCATAGTTGGGCATCATCAGTTCTCAAAGGATACTATGTATTCTAAGTGGAAGTCAGATTTTGAAAGCCCAAGACAAACAGCCGAAGTATTGCAGAATAAAAAGTGGTACAAACAGAGAAGCCCAGATTAAGATAACATGGCAGATTCCTTATTCTCAATTTCTTATCGGCTTTTTGGCCTTTGCATGAAAATTACAAGTAGCATCAGCATGTACAAGGCAGAGAATGGGACAACTATAGATGTCAAACAGGGATGGATGAGCAACGAAAGCGTTGTGCAAAGAGCATGTCCCGTCAGAGTTTGTTTCGTGCACAGGAAGGTTATGTGGCAAATATCTTGGGTGAACAAAAAGTATATCCAAAAGTTTTGGCTACAGGAATGTGTCATAGCAGTTTTACCCAAAGGAAGGTATGTAGAAAGCGGTGTACGTATATGCCTAAGCAAATGTAAAAACATAATTCAACACTATTGCAACTGATGAGCAAAAAATAGAAACTCATATATTGTGGTAGCAGAGGATTTTGTTGCACAGGTCCTGTGACTTTGTTCTAGGAGGAGTTTTTCTTATATGGGTCGTTGTTGGCTTGCGCCCGTATCACAACACATACATGCATATATGCACGCACACCTTCCTATATACACGCAGCTACATACATTGCATACAAACACACATTGATTACATAGATGCACACACACACACATATTCAATGCTTATTTACATTACACACTCACAGACACACACGTTACATAATTGCATAAATTACACATGTACATACATGTATACGAGCATGTATACACACATGAAGTGCACACACACATGTGAACATGCAATACACACATACATTACACACATACATGCGTGCATTACATGCATGCATACATAGACACACACATATACGTATACACACATTACATACATGCATGCATACATACACATGCATTACTAAATTACAGAACTTGCACGCATGCATAACACGCGTACACGCATTACATGACATGGCATGACATTAAACTACGTTACATTACAGCACAGCGCATACTTACAGACATACGTTCACGACATGCGTTCGATACATACATACATGCATACATACATACATAAACTGCATACATACAGACAGACAGACAGACAGACAGACAGACAGACATACATACATACACACACACGTACATTGCATTACATTACATTACATTACAATACATACACATACATACATACATACATAGATACATACATACCTTACATTACAATACATTGCGTTATAATACATTACATTACATTACATTACATTAGGTTACATACGCACATACATTACGTACATTCATACATATATTACGCAAATGCATACATTACATATACACTACAAGCATTACATACATTACATAGATCACACACACACATTGCATACAAATAGATACATACATACATGCAGTGCATACATACGTACGTACAATTCATTAATACATACATACAAGCATACATACATACATTACATTACAGTACATGACATTACATTACATACGTTACATTACATTACATTACATGCCATACATACATACTCACATGCATGCATGCATGAATGAATGCATGCATACATACATACACACATACATTACAGACATACATACATACGTACGTACATACATACATACATACATACATACACACATACA